CACTCACCCCCACCCCATAACCTACCCCGAACCACCCACCATCCCACTACTGTCGTCATCGTAGCTACCACCCCACTACCCACCCCTCCCCACCCCACCGACCACTATGCCATTATTGGTGACAAATGGGGTTTGGATATGATGGCAGGGTGGGCAGGGACGTGACAATGATAATAGTGGCATGGTGAGTAGTGGAATGATGGTCGGTAGGGTGGTGGATGGGGTGGGCGAGGGCGACGGCTGGGGCGGGCAAGGGTTGGGTGAGATGATAGCTATGATGACGACAGTAGTGGCATGGAGGTGGAGAGGATGGGGTGGTCCAAAAAACGATGGAGATTTCAAATTTTTGATAGATTCTATTCCGATTTCTACCAACCAAATGCGTGGACAAATTCCAACAAGTTCCATTCCAGTTCTTTCAAAGTCAAATTCGTTTGGTGGATTCCAATTCCACCAAATTATATTCTGTGAACCAAACGTCCCCTGAAAGAATTATAAGAATGATGGGTATATATTTATTTATATCACAATGTCATTCATAGATCATCATCACTACAAAACAAAGAGGCTTCACCGATGGATTTTTTGGGTAATTTTGACGGATTTATGGCAAATCAACAACGGATTTTTTTTTTCATAAGTGAACCAAAATCCACTGATAATCCATTGGTAATCACGATCACTGACTACATTTTCTCCGGTATGCACCATCGAATTTTTTCGTCAGTTAAAACTCTTTGTTTTGTAGTGTGCGCATGCATTGCATAGTTGTTATAGTAACAAACAATCTCAGTTGAATTGACAATACTACATAGAGAATACCTACATTAGTCTTTCAATTTATCTATGATGAAAAGTAAAATTATATTTGATTTATATATGATCCAATTACATCCATAGTATAATTAAGAACTATATTTTTATCGTATTTGGACAAATTACTAATAATAATGCATATCATTAAGGTATGATACGATATAAAAAGTATGTCGATCAAAATTAGATACTTGGTACCTAAATGAGAACCAAGGGCTCCACGACTAGATGACAAACCCCCCCCCCCCCCAAAAAAAAGAAAAAAAAAACTATAGCACCCTATGTCTCTGTCTTCGTATTATGTCTGATTATGAGAGAAAGCAAGACACCTTTAAATGTTGTGGCAACTTCCTCCACAGCTGTTATGAACAACAACTATAAATCTCTTATATGTTCTTAGTAATGGGGTGTTAATAAATTTTATCATTGTTTTATGTTGATTGAAAATTATTTACAAACGTATTGATTTGGTCTTTTGGCGTTACAAATAATATCAAAGCAGTCCGCTCTTGGTGTAGTGGGATGGATTTTATACATCTATTTGAGGAAATTGATTATGTATCTGTTTAGATTTTTGTGTAGATCTCACATAATCAAGTAGGAGAGATTTTGACATGTAACCTCACATTACTTGAGAACTAGAATTGTAAACCCTTTATGTAACTATTGTAAAATTGATCTAGAATCAACACACAAATTACCCATGATGAAAAATTAGTTAAGAAGTCAAAATAGAAGTTATCGGCACCCATCCTCAATACAAATTCTTAATATAGGTTTTAATGCAGATATGGATTGATGAAAATAATGATTAAAGAGATAAGGAGATACCAAATAGGAAAAAATATGTGCAAATGACAATAATACTGATCAATTATTGATTTGGTGCTTACAAAGATGAAGGTTATAACCACAATGGTTAAGAACTGAAAAAACACTATGCATGGTTCATCTACAAAGGAAAGCTATGTTTGTCAAGAAAATAACAAGCAAAGATGCCCTAATTTGGAAATAAAACACCTCAAACAAGAGTATGCCCCTTGGTCATTCGGCCATATGCGACCTATGATCGTGATATCAAATCGTTAAAATCTATTTGACTTGCCTTGGTGATTAGGGTAGATCAAGAGCAATACTAGCTTGCAGTGATTAACATATGAAAACCCTACTCACATACATTAGAAAAGGTTCATGTCATAAAACTTGTATCAGAAGGTTGCTTCCCTATATCCATGATCTACTCATGCAACTTCATGTTGTGGAGCCTGGTTGCTTGGTGAATTTAAGACAGTTTCCAAGAACTACTAATTTCCATTACAATTTAGAGTTGATTTGGAGCTACTAGGACCTGCAAATTATTACTTTGAGATTGAGATGCTACAAATGATATTAAAATAGTGGTTTGACTCATTCATCTACATACTAGGGATATTGATTCTAGGTTTGTTCAGTTTATTATGTAGATATGACGAAGACATGAAGATTTAAAGCACAGACAGTTGGGTAACTCAACCCACATCAGTTATCCTTAATTAGTTGTGAATTATTAATAACTTCTATAATGGTTTCAAATTAATTTGAAATTTTCAACGATCGCCTAATAATAGTTGGGACATTACACATGACCTACAACCCAAACCTAATGTCCGCAAACTCTAATCACATTGGTGAGGGATCAAGAATATTGAATGTTTATAGCACTCTTTGTTTTTCAAGTCTCACTTTCAAAAAGGGCCATGAGAATTGATCTACTAAACTTTTTACACGACACACTCAAACTACACATCCTTGCTTAGGAGATTTAGGCTTGATGATATATAAATGGCCGTGCAAGCTTCTTAAAGCAACCCTAAAAAAGGCTCAACCAGTGTATGATCCCAAACTCTACATCTTGGACTTGTAGATTTTAGTTGAGAAACTTCTAAAGAATTAATGCATCGTTTAATACACAGAAGCGGTATGTATGATACTGTTTTTGTTCTTAAAAGCAACACACCGCTCAAACGAATCATTACACCCATTACCAGAGAGGGTTACGAAGAACAAGCACAAGATATTACGATTCAATGCAATCAAGTGGTATGTGAAGAAGATATATAATCATCTTCAAAATAATCGAAAGATCAGACTGTAAAATGATATCACGAATAGAGATTATAATAATACAAAGAAATTATATGCCTAAAAGTGGGGGATTAAATATTACCTTAGAATGTTGCCATAAGTTGTTGAACTTCTCCAATTTTGAGACTTTAACATTTGGAGATCTTGATGACATGTGAACTTCTTTAGCAACCGTTGATATTTCTCTTGATAGGTCCACTCCACTTGGTCCACTTCCAATTACAACTACAATCTACTCATTTTTAAACCTCATATTAAATCAAAACTTTAATTATTAAAAAATAAAAATATATTGTCAATAATAAGATGCCATTTTTTGGTAAAATTGTTGAAGTGTTTAAAATTTGCTTATGTTGATTATAAAGTTGTGATCTTCGTGATACGATCGATTGTATGTTTTTTCTAATCACTAACCTGATTTCGAAATGGTTCAGGAACACGATAATTGTGACTGTGCATCTGCTTTTTAGACCATGTCTCAATACCTGTCTCAAATTTTAAAATATGTTATTAATGGATGTATATATATATATATATATATATGTATGTATAATTTTACAAGAGAATTATATGTATAAAAGCAAGATAAGTTATGAACCTATGTAAATATTTTACCCTATTTATAATTATTATTTACAATAATTTTGACTATGACTAATAATATTCTATATTTTTCTTCTCTTATATTTGATTATTAATAAAAATATAATTATTAAATTATGTGGTAAACAATATATTTTAATATTAAGGGAGTTGTTAAAAATGACATAGTTTTATTTAATATTTTAAAGAGTAAAAGTTCAGTTTTGGTACTTAATATTTGCAACTTTCAATGGATTAGTTCCTAAACTTTAAAAACTCAGATTTGATGTCTCACGTTTGTTAATATTTAATAGTTTGGGTTCCCCTATTTAAGGTCGTTAATTAACTTTCTTTTCGTTAAATCTAACTAAATGAAAGGTTTTTTAGTCATTTTCATTATTTTCGTAATTTTATGTTAAAATTAACAAGCGTATTTATAATTTTAGTTTTGAATTGTAAAACAAAAAATTTGGACATATTATCAAACGACAATATATGATCGGATTTGATCAATTCCTCCAAAACCTTTCAATGCTAGTCACTGAATACGCTTGACACATTGTTATTATCGTTTGTTTTGTATATTTATAACGTTTAGGCGTTATGTATTCGTTAAATGAAGTTTAGGAGGTGTTTGAGATTGCTTATAAAAACAACTTATTGATTTATTTCGGTGTGACAACGGTAATAAGCATTTTTAAGTGTTTGGATAAACAACTTATATCGGTGCCAAACCGGTGATAAAGAGTTTTTGAAGAAGTTAAACCATTCTAACTTATAATAAGTTGATAAACATTTTTATAAAAAATTATAAGTTGTTTCAAATAAGCAATCTCCAATACCTCTTAGACGACATACGAATATAAAACAATAAAAATGTTATAATTAAATAATGAGCAGTTGAATAATGGATTAATAAAATAATGAACCAAATTTTTATATTCTTTTTGAAAGACCGACTAAGTTTGACCGAAAGAAAAAAAAAAACATCCATTTATATTATATTATAAAGCATTTGATAAAAACATTTAATTTTTTTTATGCTTTAATATATATTACTTAAAATTCAAAATTACAAATTATTATACTTAAGTATATAAATTATTAAATCTTCATGTTAAAAATCATATAACTAATTACAGATAAATATAATCAAATACAAAACAAACATTTCATTTTAAATATAAAAAATATAAAATTTAATTAAGATAAGTATATGTTCTAACATAATACTTATAAAAAAAAATATTATTAAATCTTAAATAAATTAATTCGTTATTAAACCTAAAATAAATTATAATGAGAAGATTGAACTAAAAATTATCTTTATTATAAAGCCATTATATTATTAGACCTACAATAGTTTATTTCATTATTAAACCTTAAATTAAATTATACTAAAAATTTGAACTAAAAAATATTCGAAAAACAAGAACTTTTAAATTGTTAGTTTGATACTAATATCCATAAAAAACAGTTCTGGGTCTTAAAATTTATATTTTATTCAAATATATGAAAACATTATCGTGTTCTCAAAAACATATTATAAAACAAAATATTAAAATTGAGATGTATCTCGCTGTATTGTGCGAGTAAGCTTCTAGTTTTACTTAATGCAACTATTATATTTTGCAACCGACTTAAAGATTATATATAGCGTTAATTAATTAGTTTGGAATAACAATTGTTAAAATAATTGTGACCACTGAGTTTAACAAAACTGATTCATTATAGTCATAATTTATCAAAATTAATCTGAACATAACCTAAGACATCCTTTCAAAAAAGCAATTGTTAGAACCCCATTTCTAAACAGAAAAATGACACGTACCTTTTATCTATATAAGCAATAAATAGTGCCTAAAAACTTGTACTCTCGAAATTGCTTTGAAGTATTCTTTACAACTAATTAAATACTTAAAATAAGTATTTTTTATACCTGGAATATAAGTTGCTAGTCGAGGCTGAGTGTTGTTACCACTGCAAATGACCACAGCATCAAACACCTCCACCGAACTCACTTGATTCGTCATTGACTCAACCACAAACTCAGTGATCCCCGAGTCAATGGCCTCCACTCGAGTCACCACAGTTTTAAACCGAATCAACTCGGTGATTTGAAAATTACTTGCAAAATCTTCCAAGAACATTAAAACTTCGTTGTGGCCGGGAAACAAACGCGGATCTCCATATTCTTTTTCGCCGAATTTGAAATCGGTGAAGCTCATCAGCTGGCGTGGAAGATTCGTTCGCATGGATTTGTAGAGAGATCCATGAACAATCTCTCTATCTGGGTCCAGTCCCAAAAGATCATCCTCGACTCGTGGATCATAAGCCCAAGTTCCACCAAGTCGATGCGACTTTTCGAACACCACAACTTGATGGGACTCTCGTTTCAGCTCACGGGCGGTGATTAGTCCCCCTACACCCGCACCGATAACAGCAACCTTTAAGGAAGTTGTCATGGCCGATGGGTTGTATGTTTTTTAAGGAGTACCATATGAGAAACATGTTTAATATATGTAATATCCATGGTGATTATTAAAGTACTTTTTTAAAGATGACAATAATTCATGGTACTTTTAGGTGAAACATTAAATAAACTATTATTGCGTCCAAACGATTCGTACTGTTTGAATAATAATCTATACCTATACTATATTGTAAAGCATTTGGCTAAAATTTTTAAAAACTCTTAAAACTCTTAAACCCGTTCATCCCTATCCGATTTCATCCTATATCTGAATTCGTGTAACTAACTGCAGATAAACACAATCAAATACAGGATAAACATCTCATTTTAAATATAAAAAATCTAAAATATAATTAGTAT